GTGTGTGTGTGTGTGTGTGTGTGTGAGAGAGAGAGAGAGAGAGAGAGAGAGAGAGAGAGAGACATGAACTTATGCAAAAGAATGAAAGTGGGAGTGAGCTTGCCAGACATTGCAACGTGTCCTTGCTGCTTTCTCCAAGTCCATCTGCAGACAAAGAGGGAGGTGGAGGAGGAGGAGGGGAGAGCCGTGGGTGTCTAGCACAGGCTGCCCTTAAATCTGCCCAGGACAGGTAGGGTCAGTGTGATCCAACTGACGCTGGAGGGTAAGGAGGGGGCTCTTCCTGTTCCTCCTCAACTGAGGGATGATGGCCAGGCCCTGGCAGGCCCCACGGCCCCTGCTGGCCATTGTGGTGACTCTGGTGGCCCTCACCTACCAAGCAGGGAAGAAAACCTTTATAAGTATCCAGGAAGTGCCCGCAGATGCTAACTACGTGAAGGACACCTTGCAATTTGTCATGGACAAGTATAACGAGGAAAGTGATGACAAGTACAATTTCAGGATCTTCCGAATCCTGAAGATTCAGAAGCAGGTCAGTGTGACTTCCTCCCTCTCCCCTCACCATATGCCTATGTCAGGGGACCACTGCTGCACGGGGGAAACAAACTGGAGTGTTGCCCACTCCAGTGACATTCAGCCTTATTTAGTTTAAAGTGGGCATTTTAAGTGAAACATAAATTCACTAGAGTGAATAAAGCTAAGTCACATAAATGAAACCCAAGACCAGTGGTCATCAGCAAATTACATCCCAAGGGCCAAATCACTATTGTAAACAGTGTCATTGTAACCCAGCCATACCAGGTGCATGTATTCTGTGGCTGTTTTCATGCTACAATGGCTGAGTTGAGTAGTTGCAACACAGAACGTGTGGACAACAAAACCAAAAATGTTTACTATCTAGCCCTTCTCAGAAAAAGTTTACAGACCCCTGCCCGGAACCATCAGTATCACTTGTGTTGTCCAAGGGGTGGCTTTGCCCACAGAAAGATAGTGTTTCCGGTGACTTCTGGTGAATTCTCTCTGAACGAGTGAATGAACCATAGAATTTGATAGGAAGGGGAGAGAGAAGCCCACCAGTCGGCCCTGGAATAGGAATCCCACACACAGAAGCTGCAGGGCAGGGAGAAGAAAGGTCTGGCTAGATCTTGCCGCTTGCTGCCCACAGATAACTGATCATATGGAGTATCACTTTAACTTGGAGATTCGGCGGACCACCTGCCAAAAGCTAGAGACGACCAACTGTGCCCCCCAGGAAGGGGAGCTTCGCAAGGTACTGGGTAAAACCACTTTATCTTAGAGAATTCACTTTTCAATGGGGTTTTCTGTGATCTTAGGATGAGACAGGGTAGAATTATTTGGGATGTATCCAAACTTGCCTGAAAAGAATGCACGAATAGTACCTCCTTCACCAGGAAGGAACAGTGAAGACGGAGCCGGCCAGGGCGCTGCTTCTTTGTTGCTGGAAGGGTTATGAGAAGGCTGAAAGGGATCCAGGGGAAGAGGTAAGGTAGTCGGGTTGCAGGGAGACACTCGGGACCAGGGAGACAGCAAATTACTGACACTACTTTAGCAGCCCGTGAGACCTGGCTAGTGCACGGGCTAAATATTTGAACGTCAACATAACAAGGATGTGCAGGCTCTGGGATCCTGCCCTCCGTCCCTTTCATCCAGCAGCATTTGGCCAAGAGGAGGAGATGAGAAAACGAGTTCAGAGATGATCTGGCTGGCAGTGAGGGTGGCTTGAGGGGGACAAACCTGCATGTGTGTAATCTGCTGAGGAGCCCCCTCCCCCAAAGGCAGCTCAGGCCCCTCATACTTCATCCCAGCCCAGAGCTGGCCCCTTGGAGGGAGGCTGGGCAGACCCCGGCCCACACCAGCAAACTGCAGCACAGTCAGGGTGGGCCCACATACAGAGGGCCCTTGAAAGCCACAAGTCCTACGAGCCCTGCAAATCTCTTGACTTTCCTCAAATGAATTACAACTATTAATACCATGACTGGATGTCCCACCTTGCGTGGAATAGTTCTGATTTATGCCTAACTAAGATTACACTAAGAAGTATAATATTCACAATATCCCTGTTGCTTATAACATGTCCTGGTTTGGTTCATAAATATATGGTCACGTAGTTACAACGGCCTGGGTGTTTTCAGCACAGAAATGTGCCCATCGGTAGGCTTCCTCCTCACTTTCTACATGGATAATTCTTCAAAATCTAGCAAAGTATATTTCTTTGGTTTTTCCCTGAAGAAAATCATGAAATCTACAAAAAGAATAATTAAAGATAATAGTAAAATAAAATTAAAGGAATTTTTGACTTGAGAGATTGAATTGGTGGACTTGGTTTCCTGAATCCTATTTTAAGAGAAGTGTAAATAAGCCTCCCACCTACCACCCCAAGCTTTCCAGTGAAGAGCAAGAAAACAAAATGACACAAAGAAATGATAACCAATGATACACAAAATGTGTTTACAGTATGGATTTTTCATTATAGGAGAAGAGGGAAGTAAAAAAAAAAAGGTAAATTTGGGAGAGAATAAAGAGAAAGAAAGGAGCGATATTGCAATAGACATATTGATAGACACATGAAGGAAGGAGGGTGGGAAGGAAGCATGGGATGGATGGAAGGATGGATGGATGGATGAATGGAGATGGATGGGTGGATATGTGGATGAATGGATAGATAGATGGACAGATGGATAGATGGGTGGACATCTGGAAGGATAGATGGATGAATGAATTAATAGATGGGGACAGATGGGTACATGAATGGAAGGATAAATGGTTGGTTGGAAGGATGGATGGATGGATAAAATGAAGCTAACAGAGGCCAGGTACTGAAAGGCTTGAAGTAAAAACAAACCCAAAAAACCCCACATGAGTACAAATGAAGAGGGAAAGAAAAGAATCAGTAGTTCTCATGGTGAGTATGGGCTGGGCAGCCACTTTATTACTACTTTCCAGATCTGACCACAAACAGAAGGACATTTTGGGGGAAGATCCTAGCAGTATTGCCATCCAGTGGCTGAAATCAAAATAAATATCGAACCAGATCTGGATTGGAGGAGCAGTGAGGTGGTGTCCTTTCCCTCATCCTAGTGTCTCATATCCTCTTCTTTCCCCTTTTAAATGTTACCTTGCATATTTTGTAAATGATGTTTTTTTGTTTGTTTGTTTTAGCAAGTCATGTGCAACTTCTCAGTGTTTGCTGCACCCTGGTTTGAAAAGTACAAAATTCAGAAAAAAAACTGCATCAGTAGCTAGATGTCCTCGAGCACACACCTGTGCTCACTGCAGCTGAGAATCTCCTGCAATGAGCGTTAATCCTCACGTAGACAATAAATGTTTGTCGACCTGTTTTTTTAAGATCATGATTCAACCCCTTTTTATTTCTATTTTTCCAAATTCTTCAGCTCATAGCAATACAATCTGAAGGGCTGCTGGGCCAGGGCAGCTCTGGAGTCCAAATGAGGTGACCTGAATAATTCCCTGCCTTATAGCCTATACCTGCATGAAAACAGAACTTCAATCCCACCCTCACATCCGGTAGGATTCTTTAGCTTTTTAAATGGGGAAGATGAGGCAAAGGAGAATAAGGAGGACAGAAGATGCTCAAAGGAACTGAACAGCCAAGAAATATTTGCAAGAATGGCCAATGATGGCATCTCTGAGGGGCCTCTGGAGGGCAACCCCCTCCTTGCCTAAAATGTGAAATGAGGAGAAATAATACAAAGAATTAAGACAAGCCCCTTGTTATGATAAGAACTAAGTTGAGAGATGTGTCTTATTTTTGTAGGCAAGTGCACTTTCTAATTCTGAACTCCAGAATTAGACTTCCGCTCCCTTGCGCCAGCAACATTGGACCAGAACAGGTCTGTCCACGACCGCTCTTCTCCTGGAGGAGGAAAGGAAAATATGTGCCCCTATGGGAAGGAGGAGGACGTGGCCAAAAATGCCCACTTGATTCTTCCCAAACAGACCAATCAGATTAATTCCACCAGGAGAGGAACGATTGAGGAAGGGAGAAGCCCGGAGTGCTGTAAAGGGAGCTCTCTGCCCATGGATGGAACCAATAGCTTGATCCAGGATTTCAGACAATGTCACCAGGCTCATCGTACTCTTAACTCCTCCACATGGTGGTGTCAGGAAGGCTGCCAGCAGCTCACTGGGTCACATCTGCCCTCACTCACACCCACTAAGTGAAGGGGAAGAGCTCATCCCCGAGAGCTCAGGCAAAAGTCCTCAGGCAAAAGTTTAATAACACTGACGAACTCTGGGGACACCATAGAAAATACACACACGCACACATACAAAGCATTTGTCTACCTGAGGGGAGAGGGAGTTGGAGGATTTATCCAAAAGTTCTAGTCAGTAGTGGCCAAGAGTGGCTCCTAGAGGAAATTAATTCCCTAGTACTGCTGGCCCAAGGTGGCTCCAGGGCAGAGCAGGCAGCAGAGAGGCCACAGATAAAGGGGCACAGGTGCTGGCTTTTGGAAGTGGAGCTGATGTGCACAGAAAGGGTAAGACCTGAAGAATACAGTCGGAGCTCCAACCTGATGCCCTCGCACAGGTGAATTGTGAACGGAGACGCACAGTAGCCATGCCGAGTCTCCGCCAGCTGCAAATAGCTGGGAGCTTGGAAAGAACAAAATTGTTTGGCTTTTACTCTCCCCACCAAAGTTCTGGAATGCTCAGGACCCTGTCTCAGGCAGGGTCCAGGCGGGACTCCCCTCCGCCAAATGTCTCGGATAACAGGAACCTGCAATTTCTTCATCTTTCACTGAGGATAACAGTACCTACTTCTTGGGGTAGTTCTAAAAATTAACGATGATAATGCATAAAAATTGCTTAACTCAGTGTCTAACACAATTCAAATAAATATTAACTATTAGTAGGAATAATGGCAGTAGCAGTGGTAATTTAATATTAATCAACATTCAATATTCTTCTGGCATCTTGGCTATTATGGCCCCAAGGAAGGGATTATTATCCTCAGGAAGAAAGAAAAGAGAAGGTGGAACATTTGTGCCCATTCATCTCTTGGTTTCTCAGACAATATTGTCTTGTTCTGTACTTTTTCAGTAAGTACATAGTCACAGGAAGTTACAAAGGTAGAACAGAGAAGTCCCCTGTATCTTTCATCTAGTTCCCCCTAATGCTTACATCTTATGTCGTTATAGGAAAATATCAGAGCCAGGAAATTGACACTGTACTGTGTGTGTGCATGCCATTTAGTCATGTGTGTACATTCATGTAACTACCACCACAATGAAGGCACAGAGCTAGTCCGTCACGGAGGTCTCTGATGTGCTGCTCTGTATACTCGATCAGTGCCCAGTCGATGCCCTACTCCTGTCTCAGGTGCGTGCTTACGCTGACCCTTCCTGTTCACCAATTATAACAGTAAGGTGGGTGGGTGGGGTGGGGAGAGTTCGCTTTTAAAAATTGAAAGCTATGCTATAAAATTTGGTAAAACATTATAAAAAGAAGACAGTGTCAATGTGAAATTACATAAAGACAGAAATTGAGCAATTAGATTATATAAATAAATCTGATACAAAAAGTAAGAACTTAGAGGTTGAATATGATTTCAATCAGTAAGTAATATTAGAAAGGCAAAATAAGTAAAACACGAAACATATTAAAAGGTCTTGAGCAAAAATAGCTAAAGGCTGAACATATGTACATCCTATTACCAACCAATTTCAAGTGGGCGTGTACCCAAAAGAAACATGTGTATACATCCACCCCACGTTCATGTCCGTTACACACGTACAAGCATGCTTATTGTTAATAGCTATTATTCTTAGAAGCTGAAAACTACCCCAAAGTACATTGAGAGTACAATGGAAAAATAAACTATAGTATATTTATTTACACAATGCAATTCTACACAGAAATAAAAGTGAACTGCAAGTGCAAACATCAGCACCAATATGTTGAATGAAAGAGGTCAGAAATGGAAGAATATATATTGTATGACTCCTTTTCCAAAAATTCAACCCGTATGCCAAACTAAGCTGGGATGTTAGAATCTGGACAGAGGTTACTTTTGGAGGCTGCTTGCCCAAAGGTTGCTGTTTCATAGGGTTGCCAGGATGACAAATGAGATGATGAGGGCAGCAGGCCAGTGTGAGGTGCCCGGCCAGCCCTCAATGACGTTAGATTTGCAGAACTGGATGCTTTCTGGCTTTCCCCTCATCCCTCAGGAAAGTCACCAACTTTAACTCTTTTCCTCCCTGCTCTCTCCTCTCTTGGGCCCTTCTGGCAGACTCTTGCTTGTGAGTTCATGCTCCTCCTCTAGTAACAGCCTCTCACGTTGCCAGGATGACTGTGCTGGCTGCACTGATGCCTGGGAAGAGGCTGAATGGTCGAGGGTACACTTGGTATACCCTCCGCCCACGTCCATGCCCCATTTCTGGTCTAGTGTGCACCTTCTGTACTCGACTACAAGTCACAGGAGGGGAGAAAGCAAAGGTCTCATTTCAGCAGCAATGAGAACATGGGGGCTCAGTGACTCAGTGTGCAGAAGAGAGTTCACGAGGCAGCCTGAACTGCTATCCTTAGAAAGGTGAATGGCAACGCTGACCGTGGCTGGAGTCTGGGGACTTGGATGGCAAACAGTTCCTTACACTGATAGAAAACTTTCCCTGCATGACAGGAGGGACTTAGTGTGTCTGCACTGTCTGTCCCAGCGATGGAGCTGGTGCTGAACACCCGTCCACACTGGGAGTCTGGAATTTGGGCAGGTGCCAGGCAGAGGCTGCCTACATGACCAGCCCCCAACAAAGACCCTGGGCTCTGAGTCTTAATGAGCTTTCCTGGTAGACGATATTTCACATGTTGTCACAGCTCACTGCTGGGGGAATTAGTGTGTCCTGCGTCATGGCACTGGGAGCAGACTCCGGAAGCTCCGACTGTTCTTCCCTGGATTTCCCCCATGCACCTTTTCCCTTTGCTGAGTTTGCTTTTTATCCTTTCACTGTAATAAATCACAGCCATGACACACCCTGAGTCCTGTGAGTTCTCCTAGTGGGTCACCCAACCTGGGTTTGGTCCTCAGAACTTTAGACACACTTGCAAAGACATGTGTGAGCCACAGTGTTGTGCGTGTCAGAGGAAGAAACAGGGCTCCCGCACACCTGGGCCAGAGGTCAGGGATGTGCCTGGATCCAGAAAAGCTGTAGAGCGATGGGCCGAGGTAAAAAGAATGATGAAGTTTCCCCAGAGACTATCACCATTCTGTTCAAATAGCGCGAGCCCTTAAAGACCACTGAATGTGCATGCGAGCGAGCGAGAGCGTGTGAGATGTGAGTATGAGTGAGTGGATGGGTGAGTGTGAGAAGGTGTGAGAGTGTGTGTGCACACGCGTGGTGAGTGTGAGTGTTGCTCTGGGTGTGTGTTGAGGTGTGTATGTGTGCGTGTGCGTGTGCATGTACGTGTGTGTGTGTATCAAAACCCCAGTGAGGAAGACAAGGTTCTTTACAATTTTATAACAGCCAGTGCACAGAGCGGCCATCTGAGGCCCTGTCGAAGGTCTTTGCACGAGCCCTCAGTCCTCCTGGCAAGAGTTGTTCCAGAGCCGGTAATAGTTTATCCAGGGCACGGTGTATATCAAAGACTCGCAAATCAAACTCTGGAAATGGAGTAAGAAAGAAAACAGATAATTAGCTTTGGGGGAAATGTTTTTTTAAAAGCTCCTGCTCCTCAGGCATCCAGCTCAATTGGGAATCTGGAGCCGTCACCGTGGCTGCTCACTGACCATGTGGGCACAGGAGGAGCTGCCCACAGACACACGTGGGGGCAGGAGGGAGGGCCAGCCAGAATAGGAACATCACGTTGGGTTCATCCTACCCAGCAAATGCACCCAGAGCCTGTGGGACCCACACAGGTGCACCCGGAGCCCACAGCCTAGCAGGACCCTGGGATGAAGGGCAGGCAGGACACTGAGTGCCAACGGCATTGTCCCCTGCCCCCCACACCTACACCCAGACACAGGGAGAGACCTTGGTATCTGCCAGCTTGCAGGGGGTGCTATCAAGGGACCAGGAGGGCCAGGCATGGTGGCTCATGATTATAATCCTAGCACTCTGGGAGGCCAAGGTGGGAGGATTACTTGAGCTCAGGAGTTCGAGACCAGACTGAGCAAGAGTGAGACCTGTCTCTACTGCAAATAGAAAAAATTAGTCAGGCGTGGTGGTGTGCACCTATAGTCCCAGCCACTGGAGAGGCTGAGGCAGGAGGATCGCTTAAGCCCAGGAATGTGAGGTTGCAGTGAGCTATGATGACGCCACTGCACTCTAGCCCAGGTGACAGAGTGATACCCTGTCTCAAAAAAAAAAAAGGACCAGGAAAAACAAAAGTTCAAAGAAAAAGTTGGACAATCTTCAGAGACCTGTAGAGTGACAGCCAAGACCAGAACAAGGACCCCAAGGAAAAGGAAACACCACTTTCACCCTGAAGGCCCAGGCTGGGTGGGAGAGGAGACCAGGAGAGAGAGGCCTGGGTGCAGGGCTGTGCCAGCGCGAGCTGGCGAGACGGTCGAAATAAAAAGCCTTCCTTCCTCCTCCAGGTGCCTCGGGAGGTGTCAGGCAGCCCCGGGGCTGGGCCCTAGCTGGCCCCAGCCATATAGCTGGAAAAGCTGCCAATGTCCAGGTAGTGCTTTTCAAAGTGTTCACTTTTCCCTCTTTGGTCAGAAGCCCCATCTGGATGCCCCCACCACACACCTTTTTCAGCTTCTCGCTCTGCAGGGGGCAGGAAGGATCCTTCGTGTCATTCTTCTTGCATGTTGTCCGGGCAATCCTCACAGTGACCATATACTCCACTCCTGTCGTCAGCTGCCGAGAAGCAATAGCACTGTTAGTTTGGCTCCGAGCATCCAGCGGCTGGTTCTCTCCTGGAGAAGCTAGGACTGAGAGTAAAGCCTCCAGAGCCACAGTCCTTGTCCACTTGTCTGCCAGAAACATAGCTCCCTTCTCCCCTCCCAGCTGGAGGGGACACGATGGCAGCCAAGGCCACTGCCCCCCCCCAGCCTCCACCCCAGTCCCATGCCTGTGCTCTGGACTCTGCTGTGGCAGCCACAGGGAGCTTCTCAGCAGTCTCCTTTCCACCCTCAGAACAAGGGAGGGAACATCAGGCTGAGTTGCCACTGCCAGGTCTCACACATGCGCCTCAGACAGCCAGCATCTGGGCCCTGCCCTGCAGGACTGCAGCCGTCTCCTCCCTGCCCACCCTCCTCCCCCACTAACCTGAAGGAATGCAGTTTAGTAACAGCTAAAAGCATCAGTTTGGGACTCAAATTAATTTAGGGCACTCATTTTCCATTTATTGACGCTATGGCCATGAGCAAGTTACTTAGCAACCTCCGTTTCTTCAGTTACATAATTATTTTAATAATTATAAATTATTAAATGTCTTAGCAAAGTATCAGAAACATTACTCTGAAGCAGAGAGGGAGCTAGGATAGCGACAGAACAGAAACCAGAAGAATCGTGCTGGAAATCTGGCTTTATCCCCTGCAGACTCTGTCACCTTGGACAAGTCCCTCCACCTGCCTCAAGCTCAGTTTCCTCATCTAGAAAATGGGAAGAATAATGCCGATTTCCTCCTGGGGTGTGTGAGAATGAAGGAAGGGGGTGTGGTGGATTTGTAAGCCACGGAGAGTACAGGCCAGGGCCTTTCCTGTGGGTGTGATTTTCTTCCTTCGCTCGTGACCAAGTATGGGGCTGTGAACACTGGAGAGGTTGAAGACGGGGATGTCCCGCACCCAGCAGCAGTGAAACTCAGGAACTGAGCTGGTCTCTCCCGGTTAAACGTGTGGACTAGAGAATCCTGCCCTGGTGAAGCGAGAAGCTCCTGAAAGGCCCTGCTGCTTTGCCCAAATGTCAGCAGTTGAACCAAATGAGATGGCTCGGTCCTCTCTGTGGTGGTGACAGAGGCAGAGAGTGCCCACGCTGCTCCTGGGAAGACTACACCCTTAGAAAACTTCAGGGCAGGCCGGGCATGGTGGCTCACACCCGTAATCCTAGCACTCTGGGAGGCTGAGCCAGGAGGATGGCTTGAACTCAGGAGTTGAAGACCAGCCTGAGCAAGAGCAAGACCTGTCTCTACTAAAAATAGAAAAATTAGTATGCCCTGCAGTCCCAGCTACTCAGGAGGCTGAGGCAGGGGGATGGCTTGAGCCCAGGAGTTTGAGGTTGCAGTGAGCTATGATGACATCGACGCCACTGCACTCTACCTGGGGCGACCAAGTGAGACTCTGTCTCAAAAAAAAAGAAAAAGAAAAAGAAAGAAAACTTCACGGCAGAGCAGCAGGGAAACTAGGCCTGAAGGCAACACTGGGATCCTGGCCCGGCAGCCACTTGCAAGGCTGTGCCAAGCACAGTCACGCTGACCTTCAGCACACTCTGTATGTATGAAAAAAACTAACATACCGGTCATAAAGTTAAACTAGCATCCCAGTATGCAGAGTATTTTCTTATTCATTATTAGACGTGATTGTTAAATAATAATAGGAATAGTCATAATAACAGCAAATATCTTTACAAATGCTACTAGATGTCAGCACTGTGCTAAGTGCTTCCCTCTGACTCTGATTCACTTTGCAGGGGAGGAAACTGAGACATGGGGAGTCTAGATGTCACTTGACCAAGAGCCCAGGCATAGGCAGCCGACCAATCTTGCCTCCTGCACCCCTCTGTGAGGTATGTGGACAGACACAATTATGTCTGGGTGTGGGGTTGCCCAGAGACCCACGCCAAAATCACCAAGGGGCAGGCTCATTCTGTCCACTTATCAACTTGAATGATATCAAAAGTTTGCTCATAAACTATTCTTTAATATTAATGTTAATGATAATGGGTTGATTTCACAAGACAATCTTCCTTGGAGTCTCAGATTTATTCCTGGGAAACTGATCAAAGACAAGCCAAATGAGCAACACTGCCATCTCGCAGTAAAATTGCCTGACTGAGCTGAGACCCACTGGACACCTTGGCCATGATGAGGCCAGCCTCTGTGTCACACTGACGCTGCCCACCCCACCTCCCACGTGCCTTCCCACTTTCCTGGTTTTCCTTCTCTCTGGTCAGAGACCTTACCCCCTAGCCAGTTGTTTTTCCCAAAATCTGGCTTAACATATACAGTCAGCCCTCTGTATCCCTAGGTTCCACATCTCGAATCCTACCAACCGTGGATCAAAAATATTCAGGAAAAAAACGGATGGTTGCGTCTGCACTGAACGTGTACATTTTGTCCTCTTATTATTCCCTGTGAAGAACTATTCACATAGCATTTACATGGTACCAGGTATTATAAGTAATCTAGAGATGATCCAGAGTATACAGAAGGATGTGCATAGGTTATAAAATACACACCATTTTGTATAAAGGACTTGAGCATCTGCAGGTTTGGTATCAGGGTGGGGGTGTCCTGGAACCAGTCCCCCACAGATATGTAAGGACAACTGTATAATTTACTATCTGACCTTGAGAGAAGGAAGTTGGATAAATAAAATTGGCTCTCAAATTTTCTTTTCTCTGTCATCCTCCAATTGATATATTTCAGAGAAATTTTATATGTAAAACAAAAGGGGAGGTGATCTGGTTGAAGTATATCCCTCATTCCCCAGAAGTCCATCTCCCCCCCACAGAAAATAAACCCTCTGTATAATTCTGAGTTTCTGTAGAACACAGAAAATCCAGTCTTAGATTTTACAAACTTGGACATTGAAAAAATATTGTTGGTGGGGGGAGCCTACAGAGAATGTTTGTATTTTGCCAAATGGGACCTCTAGAGAAAACGAAATCATCCTCATGTGCTGTCCCTCACCCAATGTCAGAATGGAAGGCAGTTCTTCCCAAACAAGAACACTTGAGAACCTCAGCGGACATTTTTGCCTCTGACTAAGAGTGATGGAGTTGGGGTGCCCTCCAGTCCTTAGACCAGCATTTTGGAAACACAACTAAGGAAATTCTGGGACCTGAACAACTTTAAAATGTGCCCATTCCAAGTGAAGCTGCTCCCCACTTGCAGTCACCACCGACTGGTTCTCTTGGGAACCATAAGGAAAGCCCTGTGTGTCTGAATGGGCAAGAACTGGGGGTTCTGCCAGTGCCTGGAGAAAGCAAGTTACAAACCTGTATCTGACTTCGAAGTAGCTTCTGGACTCGAAATAAGTAGGTGTCATTGCTGGCGTTGTTGTAGGATTGAATGAAGAAGTCGAGTGTTGGATCCATGTTTTTCTTGCTCATGGGCATCTCCCGGAAGCCTTCCCACCTTTGGAAGTGACCCAGCTTGGCCGCCAGGACCAGGGCAACCAGCAGCACCAGGAGGTTCCTCCAGCATCCGACCCCCATCTCTGCAGCCTCAGAAGCCACCTGATCAGCTGCAGGTGGTGCCGGACAGCAGCTTGCTCTTGTCCACGGCAACCCTTGTCAACGCAGGCTTTCCTGGGAGACGGCTTGCCTGCATTTAGACAGAGATTGAGACCCAAACCTTATCCTTCGAAACACTAACTGAAGACCAGCCAGGGAAATATCCCTGCGGGGTCGCCCAGCCCACTCTTCAGTCAGTTCATTTTCCACTCATTTATGACACCCATTCGGTTCCTTGGTGATCCATGCAAGCGGAACTTCTAACCCCTGCCAAGGTGTGCTAGACCCTCTTCCTGCTCTCACACCTAGCAGGGAAGGAAGCCCCGAGAAAAGACCCATACAGTGCTCTGCAATAAGAGCTGGTGTCATGGACAAAGGGGCTCCCTTTATGGGAAGGAGGAGAAGGAAACATTTGAACTGAAATATAAGGACTCTGTAACATGGAAAAAGGGGCGGTACATTCTACTTACCTACCTTGGGATCCAACTGTCTTACCAAGCCATCAGGTGTTCCCTGTGCTTCCTCTAGAGACAGGTTCTCCTTATTCACCTGCTACCTGCTCACCACTGATCCTGCCTGCTGGATCCCACTGTACCTGCAGGCCCTGCACTAGCTTTTGCTATCTTGTTGTCACCCCAGTGGAGCTTTGTGATGTAATCCCAGCCTCCCTATGGGGGAGGAAGAAGCTGTGGGCCTTATACAGAAATTAACCCTGCAGACCCCCGAAGGTTAGGTGTCATCTGCACACAGAAGCCCATAAGAACGCCCTATTTTTAAAACATTTGTTAAGGTGAGATCCTAAATGGGATTCTACCAGAAAAAGAACACTACTTAGAAAATTGATGAAATGTAAATAAAATCTGTGGATTCGTTAAGAGTGTTGTACGGATGTTAACTTCCTAAGTTTTCACCATTGTATTGTGATGTTGACATTTGGGGAAGTGGGATGAAGGGCCTATAAGAATACTTTTTCTATTTTTGTGACCTTTTTGTAAGTCTGAAATTATTTCAAAATAAAGGTTAAAATGTCCAAAATCAAATATATAAAACACTGGTCTGTGAGAAGTATCATGCTGTGGTAGGGGAAACGTAAGCCTTAGAAACCAATTGTCCTGGGTTCAAGTCCTTTGCTGGTGACTCTGGGAGAGTTAATTAATCTCCTTAAGTCTCAGTTTCTTCATCTATAATACGAGAATGGAGAAAAATACTCATCATGAATTGTGGTAGAGACTAAATAGACGTAGGCAAAGAACCTGGTCCCCAGTCAAGCATCGGTGGGTGCTCACGAACATCTTCCTGATTCTTCCATGACTCTGACTGCACATGTTTAATTGAGTCCATGGTCTGTCAGTCACCTCCTGCCCCCAGAACTCAGGCCATGCTCCATCATGACAGCCCTGCTAGGCCCCAACACAATGTCCTCCCCTGATCTCAGAACCTGCCTTGTTGGGACTTGTCCAACCAGTGGAGGTGGTGCCTGTAGAATTCCCTGAGTCTGAGATGCAAAGTGTCCCTGTAGAATAGATGAATAAGCTTTCTGAGTAATACGTGAGATTGCTCAGACCTGGACAATCTCAGCCTGCCCTGGAAATCTGGCATAGAGTCATCAGACAGAGGATCTTAGAGAAGAAAAGTAATGTTTTGTGGGCCATATTAGAAAACCCATGAACATGGCGCAAAAAGCATTTTTAAAAATCTGTGTAAGAAATACGGGAGTTGGTTATGTCCATGAAAAGGAAAGCGTCACTGGTAATGTCCGGGGAAGAAAAGGAAAACGCAGACCTGGGTACCCCACAGAAAGAGATAAGAAGGGGCATGCCAGGCCCCTCTGGCAAGAGAGCTCCCATCTCCACCTTGGGGTCGGCAACGGTGGAGGCAGAGATGGAGTTTGCTGCCACGAGCCAAAGAACACCGCCAGCCTTCCTATCTCCTTACATGGACATAGAATAAGTAGAAAACAGGATTCCAGTAAGGTCCACGGTATAAAGGGAGAACAAGGGACTTGGTAAAAACCGTGGAATAAAGGAGAAATTGCTGGCCTGGTTATGGCCATGGAATAAGGGGAAATAGGCAGCAATTTAATGTCCATAAAATAAGGGGACGATAAGGGGCCCTGTTGTGTCTGCAGAATATGAGGAATATCGAACATGTCCATGTAATATGGTGAAAATAAGAGGCCTGGCTACAAATTAAGGGGAAAATATTGAGCCTGATGAAACCCATGCAAAGGAGAAAATATTAAGCCTGATTATTTTCATGCCTGAGGAGAAAATAGGGTGCCTGGTCATGTCCATGGAACAAGAAGAAAATAGAGGATCTGTTTATTTTCATGTAATAATAGAAAAACAGGGTTCCTGATTATGGCCGTGAAGTTAAGAGAAGCCTACTGGCCTGATTATGCTCATGAGAGGAAACGTGGAGACTGGCCACGTTCATGGAATAAAAAGAACCTAGGGGTCTTAATGGCCATGAGATAAAAAGCAGTTGAGGGGCTTGGCTATGTCCATGGAAAAGGGAGAAATAGGTCCTGTTCATGTGATAAAAACAGGGGAAAATAAATGCCTCTTTATGTACACAGAATATGGGGAAAGTGAGGCTCGGGTGTGAATGTGGGGTAACGGGCCCCTGACCATGTCCACGTGACAAGGTGACTGCAGGGGCCCTGGTCATGCCCATGTGTCATGAGAAGAACCCTAGTTATGTACATGAAAGAGGGAGAATAAGGGACCTGTGTACACACAGGAAGAGGAAAATATTAAGACTGATAATGTCCATGGAATAGGAAAAAGTATGAGGTCTGATTGTTTCCAGGTAATAATGGGAAACAGAAGCCCTAGATGTCTAGAAATAAGAAGAAAACTGGAGCTCTGACAAATAATGGAATAACAAAAAAAATGAATGCTCTGGTCATGTCTAGTACTAAGAAGAAACAGAGTCCCCTGGCCATGTCCATGGAATAAGGGGGGAAATGGGAGTCTGGGTAAGTGCCTGGAATGAAGAAGAAATGGGGGCTGATTATGTCCATTTAATAGGGGGAAACAGGGAACTGGTCATGTCCATGGACTAGGGCAAAGCAGGGTCTCTGGACAGTTCCACGGAAAGGGGAAAATAGGGAACGTGGTTATGTCCATGAAATAACAAAAATTCCGGCCCTGGATAAATCCATGGCCCTGGTTATGTCTACAGAGCAAGGGGAAACAGAGGACCTATTTGTTGTCTGGTTATTGCCAAGGAATAAGAGGCAAGTAGTGGCCTGAGTATTCCCATGGAATCAGGGTAAATTAGGATTGCTGGATATGTTCCGAGGAAACATGACAAATAGGAGCCCTGTTTTCATCCATGAAAGAAGAGGAAAAAATAAGCCCCGGTTATATCTTGGAATAATAGGAAATATGAGGTTTGTGTATGTCCGTGGAATATGGAGGAGCAGGAAGGACTGCAAAGGGGCATGAGAAAGCTTTAGGTGATGGGTAGTTCATTGTGTAGACTGTAGTGCTGATTCCGTGGGTGCATATATATGTCAAAACTCATCAAATTGTGCATTTTAAATATGTGCAACTTATTGTACGTCAATGTACTTCGATAAAGAAGTTTGGATGGATGGATTAATGGACGGATGGGAGAATGGGTGGATGGGTGAGTGGATGAACTAAACACAGTGCTTCCTATGGAACGGATGCTCCGCCTGAGGTCTCCTGCCCCCACTGTGCCCCTTTTCATGGCTGGTGCCTGAGGCACTGAAGGAGAAAGGGCTGCCCATGGCCAAAGCCCCACAGGTGCATGACTGAGAGCAATGAGGCCTGCGCTGAAGCCCCTCCCACCTGCATGTGCCCTGGCCACCTTATCATCTGCTGCCACCCAGAGGAAGACAGACAGCCTCTTTGGGAGTTGTTTCATAAGAAAGAGGAAGTATCTTTCTCAAGAGACTTGCAAACCTGGCCTCCTGTCTCTGAGCTGACCCTGGGAACAGGCCACTGCTGGACCAGTCATGGTGGCAAGTGGATGAGATTCATCTTAGGTCACCCTGGGGCTGGGTGCTGTGTGGGTGACACGGTGTGGGTCCTGGGGCCCTCTATGAGTTACACAACTTCCTGGTTTTGACTGTCGACAACCAGACTTGGGATTTGTCAGTCCAGGCCCCCAGAAGAAAATAAGCAGGAAACAAGAAAAGGGATGATATGTGTTGTCACTGCAGGCAGCAAGGCTCTGCTTGTGTGGCCTGAGGAGCCTGCAGACAAGGGAGTTTCCTGGCTGTAGTTTTACTCACTCTCTGGTAAACATGGCATCAGCGCTGGGAGAAGGGTCACAGTGGGACACTGTCTTCATGAACATACATCTGGTATCTGGAATCTATTTCTCACTCTGGAGCAACAAATAAGCCCTTGTAAACAACACAGCTGATCTCAGTTGGTTTCTTCTCTCCACTCTTTTTTTTTTTGAGACAGAGTCTCACTCTTTTGCCCAGGCTAGAGTGAGTGCCGTGGCGTCAGCCTAGCTCACAGCAACCTCAAACTCCTGGGCTCAAGCGATCCTCCTGCCTCAGCCTCCCGAGTAGCTGGGACTACAGGCATGCGCCACCATGCCCGGCTAATTTTTTCTATATATTTTTAGTTGTCCCATTAATTTCTTTCTATTTTTAGTAGAGACGGGGTCTCGTTCTTGCTCAGGTTGGTTTCAAACTCCTGAGCTCAAACAATCCGCCCGCCTCGGCCTCCCAGAGAGCTAGGATTACAGGCGTGAGCCACCGCGCCCGGCCCCACTCTTTTTTTTTTTAATGTAGCATTATTTGATAAGCTCTTTTTTGTCCCCTAAATAATTCGATTCTAGGCTGGCTGCTGACCTGGATACAATCTGGTCAGGAAGCAGATCTATCTGAGACCTCCCACTGCTGCCAGAGCCCCTCAGAGATGGCCCCATCAGGAGCAGTCAGCAGTCTGTGTGCCTGCTCAAGGACTCTCCTAGGCATGGCTGCAGGAAGCAGC